AATTTCCGTCTCTTTTACCGCGGAACTCGTTCATCAGTCGGGAACGTAAAAGGGATTAACGACGCTCTGATGAATATATGGATTCCAATTTCTTTCTTTCCTCTTTCTTTTTTAACGAAGCAATTTTCGTCAAACGCTTTCACGTACGCCGGCCCTTCGTGTGTCGTTAATTCTTTGATGATCGCCGGGGTGGGAGGTAACAAAGTGACTTGCTTCGCGAGCGCTTGTAACTTACTTACGATGTACTCTTCGCGACACTATTGTTTCTTGTTTTTCAATTCTTTCGCGGGACGTTTAACTCTTTTATAAACGTTTATATTGCATTGAAATATGTATAGTTGATTGCAGTATATTTGCTGACCCTTAATGTTGATGTATATATTTATATGGTGCTTCTGTAGGCGAGGTATATCTGGAATAGTAAAGATTTACTATGAAAAATGAGGGGAAAATGCATTATTAATTTCCATTCATTGTTATACATTTCCACAAACTTCAGCTAATTTCCATTCATTTCCATTCATTTCCATTCATCTCCATTCATTTCCATTCATTTCCATTCATTTCCATTCGTTTCCATTCGTTTCCATTCGTTTCCATTCGTTTCCATTCGTTTCCATTCGTTTCCATTCGTTTCCATTCGTTACCATTCGTTACCATTCGTTACCATTCGTTACCATTCGTTACCATTCGTTTCCATTCGTTTCCATTCGTTTCTATTCGTTTCCATTCGTTTGTGAAACAGCAGGATTTGAACATTTTTCAACTATATGTACCATCCAATGAGGAATTATTTACTGTTTTTACTTGTTGGATACAGACATGCATGCGGGCGTTTACGCATTTCGAAATTAATTATTTCAGTACTAAGATTGTTGGTGGATAAACCGTATTCTATATTTTCAGCTTAGTTTTGAATCTAAATTTATCGTATTCTCAGTTATATTACTAATTTCAAAAATATCCCATACATTATGAATGTAAAATATTCTATAATCTGCACCATACAAATAAAGTAAATGGAAGTTTGGAATCAGTGTATTTCTATTATTCTGTGTTCAAGCAGAAGTTTAATTAAAACTATAAATATACGGTATTTACCTCCCCTTTTGTCTGGATAATAACATTAGCATTACGATGCTGACAAAGAAGCGATTACATTGATATTTTATAAAGTGCTTCAAATTGATTAACATGTATGTAGAAGCAGTGAATTTTAAACTGATAATTTATTTTTCATTATAATATATTCGTGCAATCATTTGTATTACTTTTCTCCAGTTTTCCTGGAAAAATTGTTTTCTCGTCAGACATAGATATAACATTACAATAGTATCACCGTGTATATAGTGTATAAGTATTTAAGCATGTAGTGAAAAAGACTTCATTATAAAAATAGTACAAGCATCTCATATGAAGTACATTGTTCAAGGCATTAATTAAAATCTGACATATTTCAACAAACGGGAAACAACTTTACTCGTTGTACAACTGCTGAACAATTTTTTGCTACGTATAAATTCCGTAGTTCCCAGGGAAACTTTACGTTTTTCAACAAAAAGCCAGAACGCTTAAGGATTCCTTCGCACAACATACCAGGGAACTCATTTATTTTTTCATTCGTAACTTCGTTGATCGTAACACTCGCGAGAACTTTCGGATTTCCATAACGAGCGGCTTCGTTGGTAACCCCCTATCTTTGAATTACCTTGGGACCGAATATGTTACCAAATACTGGGGCAAATAAAATAAACCACGATTTTCATTGCCAGTGATTCGAGGATTGGCAAGTTAAATGGGCTCCGTAACTTAAATTGCGCTAAGGCTGCGAAAGAAAAAAACGGAATGGGAGGTAACAAAGCAAATATACAAAAAATGGTTCTTTGTGAATGGTTCTATCGTTTAGCAAGATTTGTTGTTCTGTCTAGTTACATGGCACAGTAATCGAAGTGGTGGAATTCAACCGATAAAAAGTCTAAGCGGAAAAACCCATTTCTTATTACTAAATAAAATGAAAACCCATTATTTCATTACTTATGACGGCAAACCTGGTAGCAGAGTCTTGTATCTAAATGTAAACTATTGGTATTATACCGGTATTTTTCAATAATTTTACAGAAGTTATCACATGCCGCCGGTTATTATTCCGTAATTAACCCCTTGTCCTATAGTATCGTGTCAGACTCAGGGTGAAGATTTCAAATAGAATTTAACAAACATAAATATTATTCAATTTGTTTGAATGCACATGGCATGTTATTCCTTTGTTGTCAATGATTATACCTTAGAGCATACGTCGATATAGAATAAGACTGGAATTTTCTCTTATTTTCAATAAATTATTAATAAAAAGATAATGAGCTCGATCACAGTTTAGAAAGAAACCACAGGGCAAGGGTTTAAAAGGCTTTAGATAGGTTGTGCCTCCTTGTGTTGCACTGCAGAAATTAAATTATCTTCTGGAAATCGCTGAAATCTTCAGAAAGACATCTAGGGTAAGGGGTTAAATATGTAAGTGAAACAATCTGAATAAACTTCAATATGCTTTATTTATACATAATGAATTGAAATAAAACTTTTGGACATATCTTTTAGATAACTTTGAATATTTTGCTTTTGCGATATTCTATATTGCCTTGCGTTTCAAAAATTGAAATAGCTAATGCAAGTGCACACACGAGTTACTAACTAATTCGTCCCGTTTACAATCCTCGACCGTGGCAGGTAAAAAGCAAAAAACGCTTTGGCCTTAATAACACATGCTAAAACAGATGGACTAGAGAGTTAAAAATTCTGGTGGCTGGACGTCAGATGTGAACAATAGACAAGGAAAAGCTACACTAAGAATCGCGGGCCTTATGGGTTCATGAATTTATGGCTGCCACGGTCCCTTCTCGTAATACCGTAAGGACGGTTGCAAGTCGCTACGGAACGAAGGCTCTTATTGTTAAAGAAATCTAACGAATGTACAAATAACTCTTAAGGAAAGATAAAATGTATACAAATCCAAAGCTATGGTGATCTAAGGACCCGGACGAAATGGAAAGGCCTTAAACAAATTGATTTATCAATACGTAAACTGAATTATAAGTCAATTAAAGTATCAGTAGATACACTCTTAGGATTTCTATAGAGAACTTTTAAACAATTAATGTAACTGCTCGGTAGTTTTATTGTTAAAAATGGATAGTTTCACGAGAGGAATACCTACAAGACTTGTTGAGTTTCACAATACGAGTGGTTACTATATTTTTTACGTACCCAGATTGATATGTAGAAAGCAACTGAATTTTCCAGGAAGCCCTTGCTTCAAATTTTGAAAAATTTTACAGACGTGAGAAAACAATGTATTTTTTGTTCAAACTTTTTTTTTCGCTATCTATTATCGTTCTCAAAATAATCCACCGAAAAGAAAATTTTGTTTTTGTTGACGCGAAATTACTTCTTTTTCATATGAATGTATTATTTTGCAATAAAATCTGTATGAGTTTGAATGATTGATAATTCCAACACACATTCCTGTTGATGAGAACATTGAAACTTACATTGTGAGCAAATATTAATCGTGTGACACTAAAGTACCGAGCAATTAGAGTAACTTCTGAATTTTTTATAAAAATTAGAATAATACGTTTCTTGATATTCGAAGATACTCCTAGTTCTGTATCTGGACTGATACACAAATTTAATTGAAAATCTTTCACAAACACGCCTTAGTAATTTAAATACGTGCAAAATAAAAATTCTGAGATGGGTCCATTTGATCTGTCCGGTAGTTTTAGTGTTAAATTTGGTAGTTCGGAAGATACGAATACCCTTGTGACTCACTGTACATAATAAATGTAACGACAAATTTCTATTTTTACGCTTTATTATCATCGCCACTATCATCGTTTGTTGCAGCTCCATAAATATATCTTTAGTCTTCATCACAATACATCTTCTAGAAAAATCGGAGCTAACTAACCCTTTGCATTCGAAAGATTTTTAACTACATATATTCATAATTGTCTGATAAAATATTTATGAAATTTTTGACTGTATTAAATAAAAATAATACATGGGAGATAAAACTATTTTATTTGAGTACTTCGCGTTTAATTACATTGTATTAAATTTAATATTAGATATCAAGTTTTATAATTTTGCTATATCAAATCAAATGACGACAGTAAGTCGCCTTTCGTGTACAATGGGTTAATATTATTTCGGTTGTAGCATTTAGCTTTCTATCTTCTGTACATATTTGATATAAAAGTTGCAGGAATGCAAGAAATAAAAGTTTCTTGCAGAAAATGAACGAAAATTGATTATCTTCCGCATAACATATGATCTTTTTTAGATCTTAATTCGTAGGATCTTCATAAATACGTAAAGATGATTCGTTAGTGCAAAAAAGGTAAATTTTGTTTAACGCCTTGACCTACAATATTGTGTCAAACTCGTGACGAAAATTTTAAGCTGAATTTGAGAAATCTACGTGTTATTTATTGTTTTTTTTAAATATAAATTAAATGTTACTTCTCTATTATCAATCATTAATCTTTGATCAATAATTAATCAAGTGAGATTCGCGCAATCAATTCAGATTGAATTCTCGATCATAGTTAAAAAATAAATCATAGGGCAAAGGGTTAATGAGCGGCCATTTTTTCAATTTTTAATGATGATGTAGATATGCAATAGATTTTCAATGTTCCTTATTCCACATCCAACTGTGCTACAAAAGTTTTCATCAATCCTGGAAAATATTCTTTCCAGAATAAAACAGAAACCGGATTTCTTTATTTTTGTTGAACAGTTGCAATTATCATCTGCAATTTAAATGAGTTTATCTATTTTTGCTTCTCGGGAATTAATCACTTTGGTCGATGAATGGTTGAAATAGGCACCTTGGTGTTGCTAGTCGAACGGATTTGTCTGCTTTCAATCGACTTACTCGCAGCCCAGGATAATATACCGATAAGTTGTCGTTGTTAACGAAAGGCATCCTGTTGCAGTTGCCTGAATAGAGCGGATTTAATCAGAGTGCACGACGGAACGGATTCAGGGGCACCCACAATAGCTGTGCTCTGCAACCAAGGAGCGGAAGTGGAAGTACTCAGCACGGGGCCAGACCTGTACGTTGAGTTCGTCGCTAATTCAGAGTGGCCGGGCCAGGGATTCAAGGCGATGTTCCAATTCCAACCATTGGACGATGCACCGCATCCTGGTAGGTAACGAATGACATTATCCGCCAGCATTATGAAAATCCACCGACACCCTCTCTACTATTCTCTTTCACTAATTTCACCTACGTTTCCGTCATCTCCATTGCCTCTCCTGAATGCTAGGAAGGTTTCCCTGTCGCGTAACTCATATATATGTATCCGTAAACAAGAAATATTTATTTCCCATCGCGTTTTAAGTCATCTTCTGGGGTTATGAATTTTTATATGCTGCGTTTCTTGTATGTAGTCGTACAAATACGAATAGAGCAATTTGTATTTAAAAAATGAGTGAACGATGTGGAATAATGTTTCGTTATTGTAACATTTCCTTCTGAGAAATCAAAATGAACAATTTATTGAGTATTCGTGCACTTGGTTAATTTGACTGAATGGGGGCGGTGAGAAGGTATTTTAATCTCTTCTATTAAAATAAATAATTTCGGTTGACATTTTGTTTTCGAGAAAAATGTATCCAGTACATCTACTGTCAGTTATCGAGAGAATATACTCAGAGTCAGTTATTTTTCAAAAACGAAGTTTTAAATGGGAAAAAGGTACTTCATGGTTTTTCTTCGAGTACATTTTTATATAAACTTTTGCTGTGTAATTTTTGCACAATATCCTCGTATCGGGCTGATTCATTACCTACATTAAACATATTTATGTAAATTTCATTTATGTTGTATATTTATAGGAATTCAATCGACATTTCACCAAAAGGTGTAACTGGTTTTTAAAATACGAGTAAAATTTTCAATACAGCTGTATAATAAGCAGTCGATTATACACTTTACTTTATAAAATAATTAACATCTCTTCAAAAATATAATTATTTAGGTACATCAATAACTACAAGAATGAACGCACAAGTATCAATTTAAAAAAGTGGGTTTTCATTGTGTATCCCCATTTTGAATTCTACATAACCCGTCAGACACCATGTATAGTGAATGGCTATGCGTAAGAGCATTTTCTACCTCCTCCGAAAAAAATTATATGAATTAACAAGAAGGATACTTTTATTGTTATAAAAGTTATGTAATGTATATATATTATCATGGATCTATTATTATAGTCAAAATTTATAATACAATACCGACAATTTTTCACAAATATCTAGAAAATTAAGCGAGATCGTTACTTATATGTATAAGAAAACGTCGTTCGAAACGATTAGTTATACAACATACCTGAAAATTATATAAATCGATGAGGACGTAAGTTTTCGATTCGTTTATTATATAAAATATTATACTATTATATTTATTATATATCTTATTACATACGTATAGTATCTTATTGCATTTTATAATATTTTGCAACATATTCATCACTTACAGTAGATACTTGTATTCGATTTCATCAACTTGTCTCAATCGACTTCACAGTAAAAATTATAGAAAAAGTAGAAAAGTCTTCAAACACTACAGATCGCGGCTTTTTTTTTAGATTTCTTCTGTCGATATGGCAGGCCGCAATAGAAAGCAATTCGCACGCTCCACACAGAGCGTCGTTACCGGGCAGTAACGGGAAAGCATTTCGAAGTAGCGTTTCCGGGAAGCTTTCTTCCATCTTCAGAGCACCGTCGGTAATGCAGGGTATAAAGCATTCCGATGTACCCACCGTTTTTCTAGTTACCCATCAGTTAGTTATCTTCCACGATAATTCGTTTGATATTACACTTTATCCAAATGTACCACTGAAGCTTCCAAATTCCAAGCGAGTTGCTGGAGTGACCGTTATCATTTCCCGCGAAGTAATTATCACACAGTCGATAGCGTGAACATCCCTAATTAGTTGGACCCCCCTAGGCATTGCAGTGCTATTGTAACGATCGATTTCTCAAGATCGATCGAATTTCAGTCCACGAAACAGGGAAGTTAATTATGGAATTTTTGCCGGTAACGTATTGCGAATGATTAGAGTTCTCCACGTGTCGCGTGCGACATAGGCAAGAAATAAGTGGTGTTCAAGCGTCCAGCTATTTATGGGGGTAATAAATCATGAATGGGGGATCCTTTGCTACGGTAAATTGGCCGTGTTCCATTCGCACACGCGACTCCCAACTGTAATTAACGGCACTGTATATTCCGAGGATAATTACAATAATGTATTTCAGAGCTGGACAAGGTCATCCCAGGGGCCGTTACCGGTAACCCCAAGTACTCGGTCATCGGACCAGCTGTCAGCGCTACGAGTAAGTATATCATTCTATGCTGACGATTTATTATCCCTCTCAATCAATAATTTCCTCCTCCATTATCGTCCTCGGGCGGAGTATTCGTCTCGTAAGTGACTCCGCTTCGCAGATAATCCAATGGATTGATTTTGGGAGGGGAGACAAGACAAATGTTTAAGTAAGAAAAAGCGAAGAGTGGCAATTTATTAGCTATTGCCTCAATAGTTCAGGGCGAGATGAAATGTTTTCGATTCTCCCGAAACGTATCTTTGATTATGGGATTACTCCTTTGCGGACGGTGCAAGGATATATCCGATATCAACATTTCGCTGTGCCTATATGAACTCCTGTTTTGAATTTTGTGAGTTAAAAATTATTTTGTTTATTTCGTATATTTTTAGATGTATTTTTGAAGAGAAAATAAACTTTATGTGATAACTGCATCTTTATATGGGTAACTGTCATTCTTGTTCGCCCTAACCGTTTTTAAGGGTATGAAAATGGTTTCGAAATGATGAAAATAATTTTTGAAATTTCTTTGATGTTATTTCATACACTACAATTTCTTGCGAAGGAATTAATTGAAAGCGTGAACTGGAATTATTTGTTCCATGTTCTCAAGTCTTCCACGATGTCTGATCATAATCGGTTATTTCTACTTGTATATATTGAAGGTATGTCCTATTAGGTTTGAAGTCAATTTTATCATTAACTACAACTCCAGCTTAAAATCTACTAAGTTAGTGACTGAAATTGTGATCCCGTTAACTTCATTTATAATAACTAATAAAAACAAGAGTTATAATTAATAGATTAACACGATATCTGTGTTACGTTTCATTGGGAATAAAATGTAAGATTCCTTTCTATGTTTGATTTTTTTTATAATTACCAAAATTGCAATTTGTTTAAAGTTGTGGGTCCATTAGTAATTTAGAAAAGAGAAAATAATGGTTTAAACATACCATTTCATAGTTCTTACGCACCCTGTACCTTGTGAGCAGGGCTTTTAATATTTCATGATATGTACAAATGTATGAAAATCTTTTGTAGATCTTATAGGTAACTAATAACAAACTAGACCAAAAATTATTTTCGAGTGTGAGGAAATAACATACAGTAATGTATCGTACGTAATATTTTAATTTGCATTACGCTTATAATGGAAAATAACAAAGGCTGTCGTGCGATGAGATAAAATTGCTCAGCTTCCTACCCTATTACGCATAAAATTATATTATGCATAGAAACCTTAAGACACTTAGAAATATTAAATTTCTTAATAATTATTGCTATTTATATTGGGCAATATCAAACAGCATATCGCAACATTAAAACCAAATTTTCTGTGCAACATTACTCTGATGGTTCGTTTAACCAAAATGAAATTTTCCGAAATAAAGTTAATTAAATAAAAATAGTATATTAACAGAATAATTAATATAGTATATTTTAATACATTAATTAATATGGCATATTAATTAATTATGAATGCATATATTTAATGCTGTATATAAATTTTTACAGCAGGATTTTTATACTATTCATTTTTTTATTAACTTTATTAATCGTTTATAAATAATTTTCGTGAAACATTCAAATGAGAAAACATGTATTAAATTAAAGTTATTGAACTATGGAGTATTTCATTGAAGACGAATATCTAAGTTATTCCCGTTTCTACTCGCGCGTAGTACGGAAAAATAACTTTTAGATGTCTATATGATTATAAATCTATATTTGAATCACACAAATTTATTTAAGACATTTTTAATTATAGCTTAAGGAAACTATCCCATTTTCAGCGACATTTCAGTGGCACCGTCACTGTGTCATTAACATCTGCTCTTTCATAATATAGTATGACATAATATCGATATTTTATAATGTAGGAGTCGTATAACATTAAGATATATTCAACACCATTTTAATTGAATTGAATTGAATTTTAATTGAAACTATGTCAAAATAATAAAATGTCGATAATGAATCTTTTTATTTTTTTCAAATATTCGATAAACTAATACTTGAAATGTTTGCAATATTGCTGTAATTTGGATTTAATTATTTTGTATATTTTACTATTGTATTTCTCGTGTAATAACAAAATTGTTAGGGATCAATATATAAGAATACAAAGAAAGTAACAATAACGTTGAAATAACATCCGACTAAATCTTTACAAAATATTTTCTCGCATTATTAAATACATGTTCTGAAATCACACATTAAATACGTATGCTCTATTAGTATCAGAATAAAACATTTTCAAAATATTGATCTTTAATTTTTGCTAAATTTGCAATATTTTACAAACTGCAATTAACGATTTTTTTATCGAACATATTTTATGTTTATAAAAATTGTTGAGTCTTATACTAATTTTAATAAAATATAATTTCATATAATAATATGTAAATATCGAATTAATATTTGAATTTATATAAATATTTAACACTAGATTTACGAAACGAGTCAATTTGATTCACGTTGAATTTGATAAGCATTATTTGGTAAATATTTGGGTCGATTTTTATTAACGCAGTTGTACAAATATGTATCCTGATTGTCTACTCTTAATCCTCTAATTTCTAAGATCTAAATGAACGAATAGCAATTTTTCTAAGAACAATATATCAAATTGTGCAGTATATGTCAGTACATCTAGTGTTAAATATTGAAACTATTACTGTTTTACATTACTAAATATATAATAAATTGCTACTCCAAATAAAATAATATTTTCATGTGACATCTTACATACCACAGGGAAATTTTATATAAACTTCCTTTTTTAGTAAATTACCAATTTATATTTTTCTGAGACACACTACGTATTTTTTCCATTAACTGTGAAACATTCTTTGCACGTGGTCATATATTAAAGTAGTTATCGAACCGGTGTAAAATTTTACATCTTCTGAACAGGGCAGCGTTTTACGGGGTAGTTCTGGAATAAACGTTGTAACGACGGGAACTGCTGTGTCTGGTGTTATTCAAATAGATTATTTTGATGTTTCGTGCGCGAAAGCAGGTAGACATACAGCAACGATATGATTTTCCTCGGAGTTCTTTGAATATAACTTCACCGCCGGCTGGCATAAACTTTGCGAGCGGTGTGTACTTTCGGAGTCATCAACCGTATGCAACGTGCACGCTGAAAGCACGAACGAGGAGGAACTTTATATCTTTTTCATGAAAATAAGTCCTTCAGATTAGGAGCAGAAGCACTAAACTAAATTATTCGGTTGACAAGTACAAGGTGATCCGGCCTTTGTATACGAGTCCCCAAAGTTTCAAACTTCAACGTCCCGTATCGATATTTACACGTGGTGCCTCGTGCTTGCCTCTGCCGTGTACCAAAATGACGAGTGCTTTTTGTTTTCTCGTCGAAATAAACTACAGCACTAAAATCAAACTTTGGGACTTTCGAATTCTTTGCCGCTGAAAGATTTCATTGAACTTACAATGTTCGCAGCAATAAACTCACGCAGTGTAGAATCATGGTTTGTTCGAAATATTTATCGGCGCAGGAACTTTTCAAACACCAAGTAATTTCGGCATTGGATGACCAAAGAAAGTTCAAAGGACATACGAAATAATGGCATAATTTTCTTGTATGTAATTTCCAATGTCAACAAATTTTTTATAAATATGTGCATCGAGTGAAATAATCGAAATGTGTTGTAGTATGTTCCAAATAAAATAATGGAACAAATCAAATTTAAACAATATCCAAATAAGTTTATTTATATATTTCTGTAATTACATATATTATAGTTTCTTATATACTAATATTTTGACGATGTTAGTATATTATTTAAATTTCTTCTATTTTTCATATATTTTTGTATTTATTTTTTAAATCAGCCTTTGGAAGTCGGTACAATTATGTAATGGAATATTTTTATTTGTAGTAATTTAAAAATTCGTTGTGAGACAAAAATTCATTACAGATTTTTTAACTTCAATTTTGCTGAAACTAAAGTTGTGACTTCTATAGTTTACTGTAGGGTCGTTATTCCTCAGAAAAATAAACTCTTCCAAGCACACCTTTTTTAGTTGATCGCAGTAAATATACATTCAAGATGCTAACATAGTAAACACTTGTCACTTTTTCATCACTTTTGACTAAATTTCCAACATTTTTCTTACAAGTATAAAAATAGCTACATATTATTACCGAGCTGCCACCATATTTAAGCGTCAGCTGAATATTTCGATTATTGAAATGTTTTTCTAATTTTCGAGCTTCATTTCACAGTTCCTTTAGTTAGATTGCTAACAAGGTAACTGCAATGACTTGGAAATTCTGCTTTTATTTGTAGGGGATCTTAAAAAACTATTGAATAATTTTTTTACTCAAATTCGGTTCTTTAATGTGAAACATCCCAAACTATATTTTTAAAGCTATAGTAAATATAAACAAATATTTGGAATAAGAACGCAGTTCTTTTCAAGCTTTATAAAACTATATTATTAATTTGATAAAACATTTATATTTAAATAACGCAAATTTTCATTGCACAATTTCAAATGTATTTAATTAACGTTAGGTTTATTATTAAATTCTGTTTAGAAACATTTAAACATTAAGCTTTTGAAGTCATTAAATTTGTAACATAGAATGGTTCTTCCTATTAAACTGGTCTTAATTTTAAAGATTAAAGAACTGTAATGTGAGGATCATTCTTATAATATCAATATTAAGTAAAATAAATTATTCGACTTTGTACTTCGCTTAACAACGGCATGGCGGATGTTAAACCTATACTGAACGAACTTTGTAAGCTTTTTGAGAATAAAGTAGTCACTGACGGTCAAAAGTAAAAGGTACGAAAATTTCTTTATGAAGCTAGCAAGACTTCTGTCCATTACAAAGTCACTTAACAGTTTCAGAAGTACTTATACGATTAAAAGTATTTTAATGGGAATTTATATAAGGAATTTAACTAGAAAGTAGTGCGTTAAAGCAGGACTCAATAAAAATTCTATAAAATTTTTGATGCTTTGAAATA